TAGCAAGACAAAAAAAAAAAAAAAAAAAAAGTCTATATAGTCCCTACAAAAAATTTAAAAACTAACCAGGCCTGGAGGTGCATGCCTGTGGTCCCAGCTACCTGAGGGGCTGAAGTGGGAGGATCGCTTGACCCTGGGAGGTCAAGGCTGCAGTGAACTGTGATTGCATCACTGCACTCTGGTCTGGGTGACAGAATGAGACCCTGTCTCAAAAAAAAAAAAAGAGTACAGCCACCCGCTTTGTTAATAATTAATGCACATTTAAGTTTGAGAAGCTGCTCACTGTAAGGTACACAGGAAGCTAATGCACATGTATGGAAAAAGTGATGTTCTGTTGGACCAGGGCGGTGGCTATGAAGGTAGATGTTCAATTGGCCAGGCTTCCGTCCTCTGTGATAGCTGGCACAGAGCAGCAGGGTGTGGGGAGGCGCTGAAGATGATGGTTTCCAGCTTGTGCAAGTGTCTGCGTGGTGGTGCCTGGCCAGGGGATGGGGCTCCCTGGGAGGACCAGGTTTGAGTGGGAAGATTGTGGAAGTGGAGTCCTGTGTTGGCTGTGTCGGTGTTCAGGGAGCTGCAGAACGTTCAGAGGGAGAAGCCAGGGTGGCAGTCGGACATGTACAGCTCTCAGGAGACATCGAGGCAGGTACAGAGTCGTGGTTCTCAGCAGGGAGGCTGAAGGGGATGAGATGGCCTGGGGCTTGCCAGAGAGCAAGAAGGGAATAGCCAGGGGAAGGATGGGCTTAGGAAGAGGCTCCCACAGCAGGACCAGGGAGGGCACTGGCAGGAAGGAGGAGAGAGCCTGGTAAGAATTCTGTTTTGCTCTTTGTATTTTTGAGACGGCGTCTTGCTCTGTCGCCCAGGCTGGAGTGCAGTGGCACAGTCATAGCTCACTGCAGCCTTGAACTCCTGAGGTCAGCCTCCCGAGTAGCTGGGGGAACAGGCCCATGCCACCACACCCAGTTAATGTTTCTGTAGAGACAGTGTCTCACTATATTGCTCAGGCTGGTCTCTAACTCCTGGCCTCAAGCAATCCTCCCACGTTGGCTTCTCAAAGTGCTTGGATTTCAGGTGTGAGCCACTGAGCCTGGCTGAGGGATAGAGCGGGTTAAGACAGAGGCCCAAGGGCGGGGGAAAAACTAGAAGAGCGCTGCGAAACGGGCGCGCTGGATTTCGCAAGGAGCGGGTCAGTCAGAGGTGAGCTAGCGACAGCAGAGTCAGCGCAGGGGTGAGGCTGGGGTGTGAGGGCGTGCGCGGGGGGGTGGGGGGCGCTGAGAGAGGGAGGGAGGGAAAGACGGAGAGTGAGCAAGTGTAGTTGACGCTTTCAAGGGAAGAAGCCATCTGGAAGGGACACGGGGTCAAGGGGATGTTTGATGAGGAACTTCTGGCTGCGTGAGAGTGAAAACAGCAGCGTATACGCACCCGGGACCCTTCTTTGCAGCGAGCCCGGCCAGCCTGTCTGCAGCAGCAAAGAGCATGCGTGCGAGGCTGGGTGCACCTGCCGAGGCCGCTGTGCGGAGCGGCCAACAGCAGACGCAGGCAGTCGGGGGTAGGGGGGGGCACCGCTGGGCTGCTCACCAGCCGAGCAAGCTGGAGGCAAGGAACCAAACCTGTTTGTGTCTTAGTTTTTCACCCGTAAAGTAGGGATGCTGATAATGATCACAACTCATTCTCACTCTTACGTAGTGTTATATATTTATAATATATATTATCTATAATGCACATGATTATATAATATATATAATGCCCTGTCGCTTCCACATCCTGGTTCCAGCTCTGCCTTCTTCCAACTCTGAATAATAATTATATATTTATAATATACGATTATATATTCTATTTATATATACACAATATATTTATAATATAGAATCATATGTTATGAATATATATTATACATATTTATATAACAATATATAATTCTATTAATTATAGCATATAATAAATTATATATATATTTATACATTATACATTATAAACAAATTATTTGTTAAAGTATTATAAATATAAATATATATTTAATTTATAGTTTATATATAATTATATATTACAACATATATTTTGTATATTTATATTTATACTATATAGTCATATTTTCCATAAATATACAACTATATATATTGTAAACATAAAATACATATATTATTACATATAAAGATTATAGCGATTATAATATATAAATTAATATAATTAATATATATTCTATATATAAAGATTAGATATATAAATTAACATATAATCTATATAATCTTTATACTATATATAAAAATTCTATATAATCTATTAGAGAATATTTATTAATCTTCATATACATAATATATGAAGATTATATATAAAATATAAATGTTATATATTAAATATATAAACATATTTACATATTATGTGTAATATATATGATATAAATATATAAGTATATACTATATGAAATTTATATATGATACATAATATATGTATACCTATATATTTATATATATTTATATATTTTTAAATATATATATTTATATTTTAAGTATCATATATAAATTTTATATAGTATATATTTACACATTGATGTAATATATATTATATAATATAAAAATATATATTTATATATTATATAAATATAAAAATATATATTTATATATTATCTAAATATAAAAAATATATTTATATATTCTATATTAAATATAAAGATTATATTTACTTATAGAATATGTCTAATTATCCCTATTTTACAGATTTAGAAATATATATATAAATCTGTAAATGTCTATATGTGTATTTTTACCCTTTTAGGTACTCACAGCAAGCCTATGAGGTAGGTGTTATGAGGATTGAGTTGATACATATAAAGTGGCCAGGTATAGTGGTTCATGCCTGTAATCTCAGCACTTTGGGAGGCCAAGGCAGGAGGATCCCTTGAGCTCGGGAGTTCAAGACCAGCCTGGGCAACTTAGTGGGAATTTGTCTCTACTAAAAATAAGAATAACCAAAAAAATCTGAAATGCTTATGAGTGCTCAGCACATCATCCACACTAGTTCTATGTGCAATGAGTCTCCTTCTGCATGAACGAGGGAAACTAAAAACCCATGGAAGATTCTTTAGACTGTTTCAATCCTGCAAATGGCCAGGCACGGTGGCTCCCACCTATAATCCCACCACTTCAGGAAGCCAAGGCCGAAGTGGAAGGATCGCTTGAGGCCGGGAGTTTGAGAGCAGTCTGGGCAACATAGCAAGACCCCGTCTCCACGAAAAATAAGCATAAATCAAGCAATCCTGCAAATGTCTCCAGAAGGTCTGAAATGTAAGAGGCTTCGACATGCCCGTCTGGAATGTCAGCTCCATGAAGAGAGAGAGACTGTAGTGAACAGCATCAGCAGAGCTGAGACCAGGGTCGGCGTGCCCTGGCTCGTAGCAGGGTCTCAGTAAGTATTTGTTGGGTGGATAAACAGAAGGATGGGTGCATTATTGGGGCCTTTGACACCTTCTACTCCAGCCCCATCTGAAGGATCCGGTTTTTTAATTGTTCCTTTTTTTTTCTTTTGAGATGAAGTCTTGCTCTGTCACCTGGGCTGTAGTGTAGTAGGGAGGTCTCAGCTCACTGCAACCTCCGCCTCCCAGATTCAAGGGATTCTCCCGCCTCACCCTCCCGAGTAGCTGGAATTACAGGCACCTGCCACCACGCCTGGCTAATTTTTTTGTATTTTTGGTAGAGGTTGGGTTCACCATGTTGGTCAGGCTGGTCTCAAACTCCTGACCTCAGGTGATCCACCCGCCTCGGCCTCCCAAAGCCTCCCAAAGTGCTGGGATTACAGGCGTGGGCCACTGCACCAGCCAGTATCGGTTTTTTTCTAACACGTCCCAACTAAGCGGTCATCCACTCTCTGCTTGCATACCTCTCATGATGGGGAGGTCACTACCCTCCCCACCCGCCCCACCAAGGGAGCATATTCTCCTTCTGGGTGGTTCCAGTGGATACCCTGTCCAGTGGCCCTCCTTGGTCCCAGCTCTGCCTTATTCCAGCTCTGAAGGTGGTGAGCCTCTCCAAACTCTCTCCTGTGTACTCTCAACTCAGCACCTAGAGGATTCCTGTAAAATAGTTACATCTAGCGAGACACCGTAGCTTATGCCTGTAATCTTAGCACTTTGGGAGGCCATGGCAGGAGCATTGCTTGAACCCAAAAGTTCAAGACCAGCCTGGGCAACGTGGCAAGACCCCGACTCTATTCTTTTATTTATTTAATTATTTATTTATTTTGAGATGGAGTCTTGCTCTGTCACCCAGGCTGAAGTGCAGTGGCACAATCTTGGCTCACTGCAATCCCCATTTCCCGGGTTCAAGTGATTCTCCTGCCTCAGCCTCCCAAGTAGCTGGGATTACAGGCATGGGCCACCATGCCAAGCTAATTTTTGTATTTTTAGTAGAGACGGGATTTCGCTGTTAGCTAGGCTGGTCTTGAATACCTCACCTCGGGTGATCTGCCTGCATCAGCCTCCCAGAGTTCTGGGATTACAGGTGTGAGCCACTGCACCTGGCCATTGACTCTATTCTTATTAAAAAAAAAATTTTTTTTAAGTTACATCTAATCTTTTATTTATTTTTCTTTTGTATTACTGAGACGAGGCCTATGATCCTCCTGCCTTGGCCTCCCAGGGTGCTGGGATTACAGGTGTGAGCCACTATGCCCAGACTTTTTTTTTTTTTTGTTATTTGAGACAGGGTCTCACTCTGTTGCTCAGTCTAGAGTGCAGTGGTGTGATCACAGCTCCCTGCAGCCTTGAACTCCTGGGCTCAAGCGATCCTCCTGCCTCAGCCTCCCAAGTAGCTGGGACTACAGGCGCTTGCCACCCCTACATCTGATCTCGTTCCACCTCCATTCAAAGTCCTCCAGCTGCTGCCAGCTCACAGTAAACCTCCAGGCCCTTTCCTGGCCCACAGGGCCATCTGGAAAGCCACCTCCCACTGCCAGCGGGCTCTCCCTCCATCCCAGTGTGAGTGAGACACACTGACCATCACACCAACATGCCCGCAGACAGTTTTTGCTTTTATTGGTCAAGATTCTTTACAAAACCCACACACACGCATCCACACACACACACACGATGCCTGCCCTGCTGTGGTCACTCCGGCCCTGGTCTCCTGGGATCAGACCATCCTGGCCTCTTCCAGGGGGAGCCATCCTGCAGCCCCTCTGGGTCAGCAGTGAAGGAGCAGAGAGAGGGCACCTCCTTTTCTGCTTCTCTGCTCATGAATAGAGGTCCGTGCCCCACCTGTGGGAGAGCAGGTGGAGGGCACAGAGAAACAGCCTCCTCTTCCTCCACCGTTGAGCCCCCCCCCCCCCGGAATTGCCACCCTAGGCCCCCAGTGTCACTGCTGCCAAGGCCTGGAGTTCATCTGCTGACTGAACCTTCCTCACCCCCATTTTGCAGATTGAAACAAAGAGGTCCGAAGATGGGGGACGAGTCTCCCAAGGTCATGATGCTGGAGCACAGTGGCAGGGCAGGGACAGGGGCTCGGTTCTTCTTAGCCTCCAGGAGGAGGGAAGTGCGAAACCCGGACCCTGCTCGACCCCCCAGGGAAGGGCAGAGCCAGGGCCTGGGGCAGGGAGGGAGTGCCCAGAGATTATCCCTGGAGCCCGTGCCCCAGGGCAGCTGAGTGAGCAGCAGGGTGCGGCCAGGACTATAAGGGTTTGCCAAGGGTGCCCTCTGTGACTGCACGCGTGGCTTGCTCAGGGATGCACCCCGGGTCAGTCAGGATACTGGTAGACGTGCCCAGTTGGCGTAGAGAGTTCAGGACAGCTGGGAGGGAGACAGAGAGAGAGAGAGAGAGAGAGACACCTCCTGGGGTCAGGGCCCCTGCCTTGGACACTGGAACCAAAGGGATGGGGGAGGTCCCAGTTGGCAAGACTGTCACCCCCTCCTGGAACCTCTGTGCAGGCATCTGGTGGACGGAGGAGCATCTGGGGTATAGGAGGTGGATACAACCCTAGGCTGTGTTGAAGGCAAGCTGGATGTGGGGTCTAAGCAGGGCGGAACGCCACCCCACCCCTGAGGCTGGGACCCTCTAGCAGGCAGGGAGATGGCTCACGTACTTGGCCGGAGAGCAGGCAGAGAGCAGTACTGGTCCAGCCAGGCCAGCGAGGTCTGGCGGAGGGTGTGCACGCTTGCCGTGGACACCATCCCGTTGAAGGACTCGAACAGAGGCCGGATGAGGATGCTGAACTGGGCCCAGGTCAAGGAGCTGCCTGCGATCCAGCTGGTACCCCCACCCCATGTGGAGCCCTAATGCCCAGTTCAAACCCAGGGAAGAAAGGGCCTGAACACCGTCTAACCTTGAACCCCAGGGACTCTTGCTGCAGCCCCTACTTCTTTCTTTCTTTTTTTTTTGAGACGGAGTTTCGCTCTTGTTGCCCAGGCTGGAGTGCAGTGGCACGATCTCAGCTCACTGCAACCTCTGCCTCCCGGGTTCAGGCAATTCTCCTGCCTCAGCCTCCCAAGTAGCTGGGATTACAGGCACGCACCACCTCGACCAACTAATTTTCTATTTTTAGTAGAGACAAGGTTTCTCCATGTTGGTCAAGCTGGTCTGGAACTCCTGACCTCAGGTGATCCACCCGCCTCAGCCTCCTAAAGTGCTGGGATTACCCCAGCTCTCTGGGTCTCAGTCCCCTCCTCGTGGCCCCTCCCCAGCCCCTCCTCTGAGCTGAACCATCCCCCATCCCTGAGCTCCCTTCCCTGGCTCAGTCAAGAACTTGGCCCCTGAGCCAGGTCAGGGAGTGGATTCCAAGTCTTCTCTAGGCCTCACTCTAGAGTTCAGATTCTCCCAAACTGCCCTCGGGACTCCTGAGGTCAGGGCCGAGGCTTCCCTTACCCAAAGACTCCTTCCTCAGTTTCCCTCTCTGCTCCCAGCTTTCCATCCCTGGGCAATTCTGCAGCCCAAGATGGCCAGGGCATGGAAGCAGGGGGCAGAAGCAGAGCCCGTCCCTTGGGAGCAGCTCTGAGCCTGCCCGGCCTGGAGAGCTGGGTCTACATCCGAGCACAGCCTCATCTCATCCCACCACGGCCCCTGCAGCCCCCAGGCCATGGGCTCGAGGGAGGATACCACCCAGAACTTCCAGTTGTGCAGCGTACGCGTTCGGACGTAGTCATCAAACATGTCTCGCATCTGGTCAAAACGCTGGTGGGTGATGGGTACCCCTGTGGCGGGCAGCTGCTGCTGGCACAGGCTGGGGGCAGGGCGGGGGTCAGGGGCTGGGGGTCAGGCGGCATGTCCCCCTGGTCCCAGCACCCGCCTGGACCCTGCCTACTTAATGGCGGCGTTGAGCTCCTCGATCTCGTCCCGCAGCTGCTGGGCCTCCTCCTGCAAGCTCGCGCGCTCCTGCTGCAGCATGAGGATGTACTCGGCGGTCTTCTGCAGCGTGGTAGCTTTGCTCACCTGCAGACGCCACCAGGGGGGCTCAGCCAGGTGCTGGAGGCTGCACCCTGGCACCCACTGAGGCACTAGGATGGGAGGAGGCAGGAGTGTGTGCATCGCTCCCCCGTGATTGGGTCTTGGGTGGGGGAGATCCAGAAGGGGGCCCTGTGGTTTTGGGGGTGCCAGCCTGGGTCTGGGGCTCACCTTGAGGCTGGGCTGCGCACTGAGTGTGCTCACAAGCCCGTGAAGAGTGTCAAACCCCAGCTTGATGTTAAAGCGTCGCTTCTGCTCCGCGGAGATGTGTGTGATGCGCCGGTTCTCGGTCTCGGGGAGCAGAGAGAGGGGGCGCTGAGCCTGGGAAGGAGCCCGGGAGGGACTGGGGGAGGCAAACCGATCTTGGGGTTGGGGGTGGTGCCCACCTTGTTGCTGTCTGGACGGCCCCGGCTGAGGCTGGGTTGCGGGGGAGAGACGAGGACGCTCAGAGTCCCAGGGCCTGGCATGGAGCTGAGGTCCCCTGACAGCCGCCGCTCGCCGCCTGTGGGAGGGACAGACGGACCCAGAGAAAGACCGACCCAGGGGAAAGATCCCCATCACCCCCTTCCTCTCATCCTGGCCCCAGACCCAGTCCCCTTCCTCTTCCTCCTCTTCCCCCCCATCCCCTAGACTCCCCCAATCCCTGCAACCCCTCTCTTTACCGCTGGGCGCTGGTGGCGAGAGCCGCTCCGCTTTGGGGACGAGCAGGGGCCTGGAAGGGGCCAGCGTGGCCGGGCCTGGAGGCGGCCGGGGCGGTGTAGGGGCCGGGGTCGGGGGAAGGAATGTGCAGGGGAATTCAGGGACCTTCTCCTGCTGGGGTGGAGAAGGGCGGAGAGTCGTGGTGAAGCCCGTGGGCAGTGGCCCACCGCCCAGTGCCCGAGATCTTACCGGGGATCCTGGGGACCGGAGGAGGGTGCTGGCCACAGGAGGTGGCTCCACGGGTTGCTCTGGCTTGGCTGTGCAGGGCAGGACTGTGAGGCTGCTTGGGCTAGCCCACCTGAGGCGTCTCTCAAGACCCCAGCCTGCCCCTCCCAAGAGCCCACACCCCTGTTAGGTATGAGACCCACCCACGTCCCTCATTCCTCGATGCTCTGTCCCTCGAACTGAACCCGCCCGTTCACTGTCAGCTTCTGCTCCCACTCCCTGACCTCCCTCCCCGGAATTGCCTCTCCCGTCTCACCTGCAGTGAGCAGCTGTGTGAGGCAGGGGTTGCTGCTCCCTGCTGTGCTGGGGGGGCTGGCAGTGGCAGGGGCCAGGGTAGGGGGGCTGGCTTTCTGTCCCCTAGGGGATGGGGTGGGGGGCTTGCCTCTGGGGATGGAGAAGCAAGGCCCAAAGGCAGGCTCTGGATACCCCGAGGGCAGAAGCTCTATGGGGAAGGGGGTGGGGGCCGGGCTGGGAACAGGCTGCGGGGTGGGTGGGAAGGCTGCAGGAGCAGGCAGCAGGGACACTCCCGGGGCAGGAGGGGCAGTGGGGAAGGGAAACCTGGGAGAAAAGAGAGGCTCTTCCTGCAGCAAAGCAGCGGGTGGTGTCATGGGATGGAAGGGAGGTGGGGGGCAGGGCTCAAGGCCTGGCACCTTCGCAGGGTGAGGGTAATGCATCAGAGGTGGGGGTGCAGGAAGGGGTGGGAGCCTGGGCTTGGGGTCTTCAGGAAGGAGGAAATCAGAACTCAGGAAGGTGCCGGAGTCCAAGGGGCCAGGGCAGCTGTTCCGAGCCTGGTTGTGGGGACAGACGGACACTTAGAGGGCAGGGGAGGGAGCCGCCCCTGGCAGCCATCCAGGCTTCCCCTGCCCTGCCTTGGCTGAGCTCTGGACTGGGCATTGGGGAGAGAGAGGAGAAATAAGTCCCACCTTTCAACACACACGGGAGTGCGTGCACACACACAGGACAGGGAAGTTATGAGAGGAGGGAGTAGAATATGTTTATGCACAACGCAGGCACAGCAGAGAGTCCGTCTTCCTGCCTATCCATTTGTCTCCTGAATAACTTATCCACCCATTCACTAACTTGTCCACCAGTCTATCCACTAACCAACCCACCCATCCATTCATCCATCCAGCCATCCAGTCACCATCCATCCATCCACTAACTTGTCACCAATCCATCCACCAGCCACCCCCCCATCCAGCCATCATCCATCCATCCACTAATTTATCCACCGATCCATCTACTAACCAACCCACCCATCCAGTCATTATCCATCCATCCACTAACTTGCCCACCAATCCATCCACCAACTCACCCACCCATCTTTTAATCATCCATCCATCCACTAACTTGCCCACCAATCCATCCACCAACTCACCCACCCATCTTTTAATCATCCATCCATCCACTAACTTGCCCACCAATCCATCCACCAACTCACCCACCCATCTTTTAATCATCCATTCATCCACTAACTGTCCACCAATCCATCCACCAACCAACCCTCCCATCCAGTGATCAATTGTCCATCTAATTCATCCGACAATCTCTCCATCCACCCATCTTCCATTTATTCACCTACCTATGAACTAGCTCATCTACCACTCTCTCCACCAGCCCACCATTAACGAATCCATCCAACCATCTATGCTTCCTTCATTCATCCACCAACCCATCCATAATCCATCCATCCACCATCTATACATTTACAAGCCACTTAACCACCCACCAGCCAATTCACTCATTCATTGAACTACTCATCTGTGTATCCATCCACCAGGCCATCCATCCAACCAGCCACTCACCCACCCATATATCCACCAACCCACATGTGCCTCCACCATCGTCTAAGACGCATCTATCAATTCACCAAGACACCCATTCATATGCACACTCGCTCATTCATTCAGTCACTGACTCACTCATTGGCCAACCATTCACCGAGTGCTGTTATGTGCCTGAGCTGCACTAGGTTTAGAAAATGCAGTGGTGAGCAAAACATAGCCCTTCCGGTAAGGAGCTCACTGTCTGGTGAAGGAGAGACACCCCTCAACAACCAACTATAATTAACACCTGAAAAGTCTGATGGAGGGGAAGGCCTATAACCAAGCAGCAGGAAGCAACATCTGAATTGCACCTGGGGATCGGGCGTGATGGCTTATGCCTGTAATCCCAGCACTTTGGGAGGCCAAGATGGTCAGACTCCTGAGGTCAAGAGTTTGAGACCAGCCTGGCCAACGTGGTGAAACCCCATCTCTACTAAAAATACAAAAATAAGCTGGAAATAGCTTAAACACAGGAGGTGGAGGTTGCAGTGAGCAGAGATTGTGCCCCTGCACTCAGTCCTAGGTGACAGAGTGAGACTCTTGTCTCAAATATAATAATAATAATTGCACCGGGAATTCATGAACCAAAATGGTAGATTCACTGTTGCCTAAACATCCGTGTTCAGCTTTCTTCCTCAGTGCTTTTGTTCCTGCTGTTCTCCATCTGGCTTGCCCTCGGCCAGTCTCTTCTGTTCAGAGCTAACCTACTCTCCAAGGCCCAGAAACCCTGCTCCTCCCGGAAGCCTTCTAGAAGCGACCGGCCTTGGCGGAGCTTACACTGTGGTCCCCATGCCCTTAGCTTTTCCCCACAACCCCTTTGTCCAGTTCTGCTTCATCGGGTCCCTCCCAGAGGATGGAGATGGGGCCTTTCTTCCCCTCCAGTCTCCAAGCAGAAGACCACACACTCAGGGAGTCCAGTGCCTCCTGGACGTAAGCAGGGCAGGACCAGCTCTGAAGTGAGCTAGACAGGGCTGGGTGGGCTGGGATGAGCTTACCTGCAGACGGCTGTGTCCAGAGAGGTGGGTCACGCCCGTGGAAGCCGGGGGCACCTCCGGGCCCAGGGTCCCACTGCTGAAGAGGGCGTCAGCCACGGGGCTGAAGCTGGGGGGCTCTGGGAAGTTTGAAGTCATGGGCGTCTGTGGGGGGCGGGAGTTGGTAAAGAAATCTGTAATTCAGACACACAGGGTGACAGCAGTTAGGGCCAGGGCTATGGCTGGGAAACAGCTGGGAGGAGAGTGGCCTGTCCCCAGCCTTGGCGGCTGGGGACCTGGGGACCAGCGGGCGGGGGGTGGGGGTCCCTTCCATAGGAGATTGTGAAACTGGAAGGGTTTCTGTCTCAATCAGGGGAAGCAGCAACTGTTGTGGGTGGATTGAGCCGCGTGGGAGACAGCAGGGGACTGTGGGTGTGAACGGGGACCCCAGGAGCAGCGCCTTCCTCCCCAGCCCCAGCTTTAGCTCAGGGAGTCCTCTCCCCATTCCCTGGCGGCTCCCCATTCCCTGATCTGCTGGAGGTACAGAAAGACCGTGCCCAGAGACAGTGCCAGGGTGGGGAAGGGGTGCGGTCAGTGCAAGGGGAGGAGGTCTGGGATGGGAGGGGCCCCAGGGCGGCAGAAGTTCAAGGGGTGCGTTGGAGATGAGAGAGGACGCGAGGTCACCGGTTCCAGCACAAGTTTGGTTTGTTGGAAGGTCAATAGGTGAAGCCTAGGAGTGGGGTGAAGAGTGTAATGGGGCTAGAGGGCCTAAGGGTGGGCTCCGAGTGGGGTGGGGGAGGGGGGGGCCTAAGGGTGGGCTCCAGATGGGGTGGGGGAGACGGGGAGCTAAGGGTGGACTCCGAGTGGGGTGGGGGTGAGGGGGGCTGGGAAGCCTGCAAGAGGTGGGGGAGGTGGCAGGCGGATTGTTTGGGGTGCGGGTTGTGTAAGTCCTGGGCTATTCTGGTTTTGGGAAGCAGCTACCCACGGCCTGACCACATCCCCGGCCTGGGCGCCTCCCGCCCACCCGCTCCCTTCCGGGCACCTTTCTCTGACCCTGACCAGCCTGTGGTCCGTGCCAGCTCCCGAGGCCTCCTGGTCTGGACAGATCTGACCCCACCGTGACAGCTCCCTACAGGCCTGGGTGGGCCCCAGCTCCCCGCTTTTTCCCTCCGGCACCCCTGCCAGGAAAGCTGCTCAAGTCTGCCTCCCAGGAGCCACCTCCAAGGAGACCAGGATAGTCACCAAGAAGCTCCTAGATAAGGTCACCCAAACCCAGAACCCACAGGGGGGTCAAGGGTGTGTGTGTGTGCCCTAACGCCAACCCCAATCCCCAGAGACAGAGTTGTGCTATGTCGCCTAGGCCGATCTCAAACTCCTGGCCTCAAGCCATCCTCCTGCCTCAGCCTCCCAAAGTGTTGGGATTATAATGAGCCTGAGTGGGAGATGGCAGGGGACTCTGGGTGTGAGCAGGGACCCAGGAAGTAGTCCCTCCCCTGCCCAGTCCCAGACGCAGCTCAGAAGTCCCCTCCCTGGCCGCTGGTGACTCCCATTTCCTGACCTGGTGGTACAGAAAGGGGGTGCCCAGACAGTGTTGGGCTGGGACAGGGGTGCAGGACCAGTGGAGGGGGTCAGCCACTGTGCCCTGCTGTCGCCCAGGCTGGAGTGCAGTGGCGCCATCTCAGCTCACTGCAACCTCTGCCTCCCCGATTCAAAGGATTCTCATGCCTTGGCCTCCCGAGTAGCTGGGATTACAGGCATTCGCCACCATACCCAGTTATTTTATTTTTTATTTATTTTTATTTTTTAGCAAAAACGGGTTTTGCCATGTTGCCCAGCCTGATCTCAAACTCCTGAGCTCAAGCCATCGTCCCGCCTTAGCCTCCCAAAGTGCTGGGATGACAGGTGTGAGCCACCACGCGTGGCCCTCTATGTTACAAATGGCTCTGCTTTTTGGGAGTGTGCAGGGCCTGTGTGGTGCAGTGGCTGAACCCTGGAGTCTCAGCGTGGGGTCTGCACACAGCCTCTATCTGCCCCCTGGGTGTCTGTTGCTCCGGCTGAGGCCACGTGAACCTGTCCTGCCGTGACGACACGGAGTGTGCACGTCTGCTCTGTGCCCGTCTGCGCGTCTAACCCCATGGTGAGAAGGTTGCTCTCCTGCTGCCTTTCTTTCTTTTTTGAGACAGAGTCTCGCTCTGTTGCCCCGACTGGAGTGCAGTGGTGTGATCTATGCTCACTGCAACCTCTGCCTCCCGGGTTCAAGTGATCCTCCTGCCTCGGCCCCTGAGAAGCTGGGACTACCTGTGCCCCTGCTGCCTTTCTTTAAAAGGGGGACCAGGCTGGGTGGGGTGGCTCATGCCAGTAATCCCAGCATTTTGGGAGGCCCATGTGGGCGGATTAAGAGGTCAGGAGTTCGAGACCAGCCTGGACAACATGGTGAAACCCCGTCTTTACTAAAAATACAAAAAATTAGCTGGGCGTGGTGGCGAGCGCCTGTAATCCCAGCTACTCAGGAGACTGAGGCAGGAGAAACGCTAGAACCCAGGAGGCGGAGGTTGCCGTGAGCAAAGATCGTGCCATTGCACTCCAGCCTGGGAGATAGAGCAAGACTCATTCTCAAGAACAAAAAACAGAAGATAAAATAAACATCAATCAATAAATACAAAAATTAGCCAGGTGTGGTGATGGGCGCCTGTAATCCCAGCTACTCGGGAGGCTGACACAGGAGAATCACTCGAACCCAGGAGGTAGAGGTTGCAGTGAGCCGAGATCGTGCCACTGCACTCAGCCTGGGCAACAGAGCAAGACTCTGTGTCAAAAAAAAAGTGGGGGGGGGGCGGGAACCACCAGGTGACAGATGGAGAGTGGTCACTGCTGCTCCCCACCTTCCAGGGTCCATAGGGCCTGTCACTAGGCCCCCCCGAGGCCCTGGCTCTAGAATCAGCCTCATGCTGGACCAGGCTCCAGGCCGCTGAGGGCCGAGGGCCCCTCCCTGCTCATGGCTACAGCCAATTCCTTGGGGCCTGGACAGCAAGCCCCTCTCATCCCTGAGTGGCCAGCCACCCCCTTACCATCATCGTCCACACCCCGCCTTGAGAGAAGTTGCTTCCCAGCCTAAGCTGCTCGCCAGGCCCCAAGCCCCTCCCTAGCCTCTGTCCCCTCCACGAATGTGACCTGCCATCCCCTCCCTGAGCTTCTCCGCCTCTGGCTGCCTTCCTGACCACCCCCTCCCCCCACCGCCAGGCCCGCCGCCTCCATAGAGTTTTGGTCCCCTCCCTGGGTTTCCAGCTGGACCTCCCCAGTGGGGGGCTCTTGGGGACAATAAGGACTGCTGTGCACTCTGCCCTCTGGATGCAGGGAGGGTTTGATATGCGAGGGCCACACCAGCCACCTCCTCTGTGTGGGCCACACTTGTCCCCCCACGCCCCAGCAGCCACCCGCGCTTGCCAGACGTTGCCTTCTCGCCCCAGTCCCCTCTGGTCTTGCCCAGACCCCAGGCGGGGGTGGCTGGGCTCCTACCTGTGGTGGGGGGCTGTGTGCCCAGATAGGGCCGCTGCCCTCCCAGGCTGGGCTGCTCCCAGGGCACTGCCATGCACACTTCTGCCCCGGGGCAGCCCCTACCCCCGCCCAGGGCGGGAGGAGGGCTGGGGGTGGTTCCTCATTCCCTAGTCCCCGCCCCATAGGCCTCCACCTCTTGACTGACAGGCCCACGACCCCGTGGGGAAGGAGTTAGAAGGTCACTAAGCCTTTTTTTTTTTTTTTTTTTTTTTTTTTTTTTTTGAGACAGGGTCTCGAACTCTCACCCAGTCTGGAGTGCAATGGCGTGATCTAAGCTCACTGCGAACTCCACCTCCCGGGTTCAAGCGATTCTCCTGCCTCAGCCTCCCCAATAGCAGGGATTACAGGCGCGTGCCACCACACCTAGCTAATTCTTTTGTATTTTAAGTAGAGAGGGGGTTTCACCATGTTGGCCAGGCTGGTCTCAAAGTACTGACCTCAAGCGATCCAGTGGCCTCAGCCTCCCAAAGTGCTGGGTTTATAGGCGTGAGCCACTGCGCCCGGCAGGAGGTCACTAGGACTAAGCCTTTATCCCAGGGACCCTCTTTCTGTCCCCGGGGGCTTGGATGAGACAGGCTGAGCCTAGATATCTACCTGGCTCACACCTGGCTCTGGGAGCCCCTAAATGTGTGGCTATTGGGAATAGCCTGCAAGACCTACAGTGAAGTGAAGGCCACCTGGGAGATCTGTTGTGGAAACAGAGGCATTTGTCCACATGTGCTTTTACTGACAGGAACACGTCTGGGAGGACCATGAGGAATCAGGAACTTGGTGGCTCTGGGGTCAGGAGAGGGAGGTAGAGACATTCACAACTTACAAAAAACTGCTTTAGGCCAGGCGCGGTGGCTCATGCCCATAATCCCAGAACTTTGGGAGGCCCTGGTAGGTGGATCACTTGAGGTCAGGAGTTCGATACCAGCCTGGCCAACATGGTAAGATCCCATCTCTACTAAAAATACAAAAATCAGCCGGGTGTGGTGGTGCATGCCTGTAACCCCAGTGACTCAGGAGGCTGGGGCAGGAGACTCGCTTGACCCAAAAGGCGGAGGCTGCAGTGAGCTAAGATCAAGCCACTGCACTCCAGCCTGGGCAACAGACTCTATCTCAAAAAAAAAAAAAAAAAAAAAAAAAAAAAAAAAAAAAAAAAGCCTTGTAAGATATAATGGCTGGAATTTTCTTTAAAATAATAGACTGGGCATGGTGGCACACACCTGTGATCCCAGCACTTTGGAAGGTTGAGGTGGGAGGATCTCTTGAGACCAGGAGTTGTAGACCAGCCTGGGCAATATAGGGAGGCCCCATCACTTCAAAAAATTAAAAAAAAATTAGCCAGGCATGGTGGCAGGTGCCTGTGGTCCCATCTACGTGGGAGGCTGAGATGGGAGGATCACTTGAGCCTGAGAGGTTGAGGCTGCAGTGAGCTGTGACTGTGCCACTGTACTCCAGCCGGGGCAACAGAGTGAGATCCTGTCTCAAAAATAAAATAAAACCTAAGAGAAGAGAAGGAATGTGGTCTAGATGAAAGAAGACTGGCCCCGAGTGGTAAGTCGATCAGTGACAGTGACCTGGGAGTTTGCTGAACTGTGCTTTCTCTACTAGTGTGTGCATGCTTGAAATGTTCTCTAGTAAATAGTTTTATTTTTAATTTTTATTTTTTGAGACGGAGTCTTTCTCTGTTGCCCAGGCTGGAGTGCAGTGGCACAATCTCAGCTCACTGCAACCTCTGCCTCCCAGGTTCAAGTGATTCTCCCACCTCAGCCTCCCGAGTAGCTGGCATCACAGGCGCCCGCCACCACGCCTGGCTAATTTTTGTATTTTTAGTAGAAATGGGGCTTCCTCATGTTGGCCAGGCTGGTCTCGAACTCCTGACCTCAGGTGATCCGCCCAACTGGGCCCCACCAAAAGTACTGGGATAATAGGCATGAACCACCCTGCCCAGCCTAGTAAATAGTTTTAAAATGCCTTGTGCAAATAATAAATAAACCCAAATAAATCAAAGTTCCTCTCTCCCCTGAGAGAGTCACAGCATTCACTGCTTTCCTGGGAGCCCCTGGTTCCCTGTCCAGGTAATCTCTCTGTTCCTGCCTTCATTGGAGGCCACATCAGCTAGACAAAAGGGCAGGAAGATCCCTCAGAAACCGCCCAGACCTGCCAGGCACAGTGGCTCACGCCTGTAATCCCAGCAGTTTGAGGGGCCAAGGAGGGAGAATCACTTGAGCTCAGGAGTTTGAGACCAGCCTGGGCAACATGGTGAAACCCCATCTCTACCAAAAATAAAAAAGCCAGGCGTGGTGGCTCATGCCTGTAATCTCAGCACTTTGGGAGGCCGAGGTGGGCGGATCACCCGAGGTCAGGAGTTCAAGACCAGCCTGGCCAATATGGTGAAACCCTGTCTTAAAAAAAAAAAAAAAGCTGGGTGTGGTGGTGCCTGCCTGTACTCCCAGCTACTTGGGAAGCTGAGGTGGGAGGATCCCTTAAGCCTGAGAGGCAGAGGTTGCTGTGAGCTAAGATGGCACCACTACACTCCAAGCTGAGTGACAGAGTGAGACCCTGTCTCAAAATATAAAGAAGAAAAGAAACCACCCAGCTCATCAGCTCTCCCAGAGGGGCCTTCGATGGGCTCATCGGCCTTCCTGACATGGACCCTGCCCGTTCACCCAAGCCCGGGAGGGGCTCGCCCCACCTGAGACGTCCATGAAGTCATCCAGGCTTGGCTGCAGTGGCGTCAGGTCCGGCTGGATCATGTCAGCATTGCCGACGTAGGCTGGAGGTGGCAGTGGCAACATCAGCAGCAGCAGGCAGAGAGGAGCGGGGTCCCCGCCCCAACCCCCAGCCATTCCTCCCTTGGCCTCCTGGAATCTCACAGGCCTTCACCCCTCTCCCCTGCCCCTTCCCAGACCCTCACCATCCTCAGGCGGCAGCTGCAGGGGTGAAGGGCCGGGCTGAGTCATGGTGAAGAGCGTGTCCGAGATGTCGGACAAAAAGCAGTCGAGATCTAGGAGCTGTCGCCCCCCGGGCTCCTGCTCTGGGTCCCCCAGCAGCACGGGGACCACACTGGAGAAGAGCTGTTTGCACCATTGCTCCGGTGGTGGCCACTCGCCTTCCGACTAGGGGGACAGAGCCGTCAGCAGCCACCGAAGGGCTCCCCCTGCCCCAACCGCCCATATCACCCCTGCCCGGGGTAAAATGGTCAGCAGGACGGAAGGTCCGCCTGTGCACGACTCTCCCCTTTCCCTCGTGGACCTGGCTTGAAAGACCAGATCACCTCACTGGCCTCTAAGTACTTCCCCCAGGAGATAGACCAGGATGCAGATACAGGGGTCCCCTTCCTGCCCTTTAGATTTTTTCCTGTTCGGGACCTCAGTTCTTTGGTCCCTCTTTTTTTTAAAATGGAATCTCACTCCTGCCCAGGATGGAGGGCAGTGGTGCAATCTCAGCTCACTGCAAACTTCGCCTCCCAGCTTCAAGCGATTCTCCTGCCTCAGCCTCCTGGGTAAACAGACATGCGCCACCACACCCAGCTAATTTTTGTGTTTTTAGTAGAGATGGGGTTTCACCACGTTGGCCAGGCTGGTCTCAAACGTCTGACCTCGTGATCCACTGGCCTCGGCCTCCCAAAGTGCTGGCATTACAGGCGTGTGCCACCGTGCCCGTCCCGATTTTTGTATTTTCAGTACAGACGGGGTTTCACCATGTTGGCCAGGCTGGTCTTGAACGCCTGACCTCAGGTGATCCACCTGCCTTAGCCTCCCAAAGTGCTGGGATGACAGGCGTGAGCCACCGCGCCTGCCTGGTCCCTCGTTCTCCCATGCCTCCCACCACTTGCCCAGTGACCTGGGGTCTTCTCACCACTGCACTACTACACCCCGAGAAGAGAAGAGCTTCACGGATCAACCACAGGATGGTAGTCACGTCCCACACCCCACGCCCACGCCCAGCCACTGTCCTGCCCACGCAGGAGGAAGCTGCCAACTCTACCTCCCACCTACTTGTGGGGGAAGAGGTGCCCTTCCCTGCCGGACTTACAGAGCACCCACCTGCTTAGGGGCCAGGAGGTCCTCTTCCCTGCTGGACTTACGGAGCTGCAGGGACACACAGAGTTGGATACAGGATCCCTTGCCCCGTCCTTCATCACTTCCCCCCAAAAACCCCTGCTCCCAAGCAATGAGATCCCCCATTTCATCAGGAGCTCCCCCACCTCCAAGTAAGGAGGCTGCTAGAAGGTCCTGTGACCACACGGTGGCGCTGCCGGCCCGGGACTGAATGGAGGGCCCCAAGGGGACGGGCTTGGTGGGGCTCAGGATCCCCTTTCCAGGGACCTTCCGAGGCGGGAGGTGGCCGGCAGCCGCAGGGGAAAGCTCTGGGGCCTCCCCGGGCCCCGCACTGACCCGCTTCTTGTAGTAGATGCGCCACTTGTGGTATTCCCGCATCACCACCTCGATGCGCCTTTTCCAGTAGTTCCCCTCCAGGACCACGGCCTGGTGGGGGGTCCGGGGGGAGGGCGGTCAGTAGGGAGGGGAGCACCGCACACCCATCTCCCACCCCACCCCATCCCTGTCTGCCCAGCGCAAGGCTAAAGGAGGCAGGGGCTGGTCTTGGTGGGCGGGCAGCTGGGCAGGTGGGCAGGTGGGCAGGTGGGCAGATGGGAAGGCGGTCCAGAACCCAGCTACCTCCGGCTTCCGGTGCGCATCAGCCTCAGGCCCCTGCAGGGGGGTCACGAAGCCACACACGGGGCTCTTCCTCTGCTCCACATCTGAGAGAAGGGGGCCAGGTCAGGGGCACCCAGCTTCCTCATCCCCCACCTCATCCCAGGGGACTGGGACTCAAGTGACACCCTAAGAAATCCTGCTTGGACTCTGACGTTCAGATTAAGTGCCCATGCTGCCTCCTCCAGGAAGCTTTCCTGGATCTGAATCTTCCTTTTTTTTTTTTTTTTTTTTTTTTCTCTTGTCACCCACCTTGGAGTGCAATGGCTCCATCTCAGCTCACTGCAACCTCCACCTCCCTGGTTCAAGCCATTCTCCGGCCTCAGCCTCCCAAGTAGCTGGGATTACAGGTGCCAGCCACCACCCCAGGCTAAGTTTTTTGTATTTTTAGTAGAGATGATGGGTTTTCACCATGTTAGTCAAGCTGGTTCGAACTCCTGACCTTGTGATCCGCCCACCTCATCCTCCCAAAGCGCTTGGATTACAAGTGTGAACCATTGTGCCCGGTCTTTTTTTTTTTTTTTTTTTTTTTTTTTTTCTGAGACGAACTTTTCATTTGTGTTGCCCAGGCTGGAGTGCGATGGCTCGATCTCGGCTCTCTGTAACCTCCGCCTCCCAGGTTCAAGCAATTCTCCAAGTAGCTGGGATTACAGGCATCTGCCACACACCTGGCCAATTTTTTGTATTTTTAGTAGAGACGGGATTTCACCATGTTGGCCAGGCTGGTCTCAAACTTCTGACCTCAGATGATCCACCCACCTCAGCCTCCCAAAGTTCTGGGATTACAGGCGTGAGCCACCGCGCCTGGCCTGATCTTCCTCTTCTGCGGGACGCTGTGAATCCAACCTCCCACACCTTCTCTGGGTCCCTCCGGAGCCTAGCAGGTTCACCGGCAAAGACTGCTGAATGGATTGTGGGGCCACAGCAGTGAGCTGCCTCCGGAACGTCCTGGTTAGACTGGCAGGCCGGGAGCTTACAGCCTTGGGTCCCCTGCCTCAGGAGCCCTGGCACTACCCACTTTCTTTGCAGAGAACCACCGTTGGTCCACTTCCGGCCAACCCGCGGCCTCCTCCAGGCCTCTGCCTCCCCTGACCTCTCCTAGGCTCTTCCCCTTGACCCCAGTACACATTCCAGGCTTTTTCATTTTTGTTGTGTTTTTGAAACAGGGCCTTGCTCTGTTGCCCAGGCCGGAGTGCAGTGGTGCAATCATAGCTCACTGAAGCCTTAACCTCCTGGACTCAAGTGATCCTCCCGCCTCAGCCTCTGGCATACGCCACCATGTCTGGCTAATTTTTAAAGTTTTTGGAGAAACAGGGTCTCCCTGTGTTGCCCAGGCTGGTTTCGAACTCCTGAGCTCAGGGAAACCTACTGCTTTGGCCTCCCAAGGCACTGGGATTACAGGCATGAGCCTCTGTGCCTAACCTCTTCTTTTAAGTTATTATTTTAAGTTTTTTGGTAGAGACAGGATCCCACCATGTTGCCCGGACTGGCCTCAAGTTCCTGGGCTCACCAAGCTATTCTCTATCTCCTAGCTTCCCTGGTTACTTCGTTTGTTTGTTTATTTTCTCTCTTGCTGCCCAGGCTGGAGTGCAGTGACGCGATCTCGGCTCATTGCAAACTCCACCTCCCAGGTTCAAGCGATTCTCCTTCCTCAGCCTCCCGAGTAGCTGGGATTAGAGGCACCTGCCACCACACCGGCTAATTTTTGTATTTTCAGTAGAGACGGGGTTTCACCATGTTGGTCAGGCTGGTCTCGAACTCCTGACCTCAATTGATCCACCCACTTCAGCCTCCCAAAGTGCTGGGATTACACGTGTGAGCCGCCGCGTCCGGCCCTGGGCGTTTTGTTTTGTTTCTGTGCATGTGTGGGTTTTTTTTTGTTGTTGTTTTTTGTTTGTTTGTTTGTTTTTTTTTTTTGAGACGGAGTTTCGCTCTTGTTACCCAGGCTGGAGTGCAATGGCGCGATCTTGGCTCACTGCAACCTCTGCCTCCTGGGTTCAGGCAATTCTCCTGCCTCAGCCTCCTGAGTAGCTGAGATTACAGGCACGCGCCACCATGCCCAGCTAATTTTTTGTATTTTTAGTAGAGACGGGGTTTCACCATGTTGACCAGGATGGTGTCGATCTCTTGACCTCGTGATCCACCCGCCTCGGCCTCCCAAAGTGCTGGGATTACAGGCTTGAGCCACCGCGCCCGGCGCATGTGTGTTTTTTTGAGGCGAGGACTGAATCTGTCGCTTGGGCCGGAGGGCAGTGGCAGCGATCTTGGCTCACTTCAATCTCCACCTTCTGGGCTCAGGTGATCCTCCCACCTCAGCCTCCAGAGTAGCGGGGAGTTCAAGTGCATGCTACTGCGCCCAGCTAATTTTTGAATTCTTTCAAAATTCAACATGGTTTTACCATGTTGCCCAAGCTGTCCTCAAACTCCTGGGCTCAAGCGGTCCGACTGTCTCAGCCTCCCAACGTGCTGGGACGGCAGGCTTGAGCCACCGCGCCCAGCCCCGACTACTTTTCACTGACTCCTTTGCAGTACCCCCCTGGCTGCCTCTCTCACTCTGGCCCTTTCTTGCTCTAGCCCCATATCCAGCTGCCTGGGGACACTCCCGAGGATGCCCCAAAACTTGCCACAAAAATCCCTCTGAGTCCCAGCATTCCAGGTCTGATTGTTATACTCTGGACCTAACTGAGGCGATAAAATCTCAGTCTCACAGGGTCTGTGCCATTCTTCCACTGTCCCCGCCCTTCTATCCTCTGCCTCACTGTGTCACCCTCTGTTCTGGTGTCATTTCTTACAGGGACCTCCCTGACTCCAGCTTTACCCTCTAAGCTCATCTTCCAGTCGCTGCCAGGTCAATTCTTCCTAAAGCGCAGTTCAGGTCTGGAACCCTCCACGGCTCCCTACTAGCCTCTGGGACAAAGTCCACACTTTTTGGCTTGGCTTCCAAGCCCTTCCCCCTCCTCATGATTGGGCCACCACTTGCTTCTCTCAGCTCCCTGTCTCTTTTTTGAGACAGGTCTCACTCTTGTCACCCAAGTTGGAGAGCAGTGGTACAGTGGTGTGGCCTTGGCTCACTGCAGCCTCCACCTCCCAGGCTCAAGTGATCCTCCCACCTCAGCCTCCCAAGTAGCTGGGACTATAGGCATGTGCTGCCATGCCCGGCTGGTTTTTTGTATTTTGGTTTCAGCATGTTTCTCAGGCTGGTCTCAAACTCCTGAGCTCAGGCAATCCACCTGCCTCGACCTCCCAAAGTGCTGCAATGACAAGCATGAGCCACGACGCTGGGCCTCCCTATCTCCTTGAAACCACACAGTCCACCTTCTGGTCTCATTCTACAGGGAAGCCCTTCTTACCTTCCCTCTTCTGCCCACAAAGCAGGATGGTGCCTCCTCCAGGAAGCCTTCCTGCCTCCCGAAGCCCACAGCGCTGTCCACCTCCCCTCCACCCTGCCTTGCCAGGTCTTGACCTGCTCAGCTTGCTATGGGGAGTAAAAGCAGCTCCTGCCATCGACACACAGCAGATCTACTTAGAGGCAACCTGCGACTCTTCCTGGCTGTCCTGACAAAGAGGACAACCCCTGACCCTTCCAGCTCCAGCCAACTTCCTCTGGGACCAACGAAGACACAGAGGAAGGGGAACCATCACAACATGAAACTTACGAGGGCTTTTAAGCATCATTTACAAAGTTCTGTCCTAAAGTACGTTCTCCAAAATCTGCTGGGTGCAGCGGCTCACACCTGTAATCCCAGCACTTTGAGGGGGCTGAGGTGGGCGGATCACTTGAGTCCAGGAGTTCGAGATCAGCCTGGGGAACATAGTGAGACCCCCATCTCTACTAAAGATGCAAAAAGTAGCCAGGCGTGGTGGCACATGCCTGTAATCCCAGCTACTCAAGGGGCTGACGTGTGAGAATTGCTTGAACCCAGGAGGCGGAGCGGAGATCGTGCCACTGCACTCCAGCCTGGGTGACATAGCAAGACTGTTTCAAAAAAAAAAAAAAATACATATATATATATATATATTCTCCATAAGATTGAAGATGGGGCTTTGTCCTGGTTTCTGAGCCCAGCTTGGTCAGAAAACAAAGGCTGGGCCCATGGATGTGTGGCCTCCCGAGGGACTAGATAAGCAAGGAGGGTCTCAAAGCATGTCTGCCCCTGGCTTTCCAGATGAGGAGATGAACACCAGCAAGGATTAGGTTTGTCTTGGTATGGCACGGTTGGGAGTTTGAGACCAGCCTGACCAACATGGAGAAACTGCGTCTCTATTAAAAATACAATGTTAGCTGGGCTTGGTGGCGCATGCCCGTAATCCCAGCTACTCGGGAGGCTGAGGCAGGAGAATCGCTTGAACCCGGGAGGCGGAGACTGTAGGGTAAGCCAAGATCGGACCACTGCACTCCAACCTGGGCAACAAGAGCGAAACTCCGTCTCAGAAAATTCTACTACTACTACTACTACTACTCAAGTTTGTCCAGGGCTCCTAGAGAGTCAGGGCCGAGTGGCTCTCTCCTCCCCAGCCCAGAGATCCTGTGCTCTGAACGGTTTCCCATGGAAAGGCTGTAGTAACGGTGTGGCTCCTGGGGGCTGGGCAGGCTTTGTTAACACTGATAAGCTCACCCCTTCATTCAGCCGCCTAACCCTTGGCACCTCTGCTGGGACAGATACTGGGAGGGGCTCATGGGTGAATCAGGCAGGGAGCCCACGGCTTAGGGGAGAGATAAGGGCAGTAAATAAACAACACGAGGCGATGCAAAGTGGAAAGTCCTTCTTGCCCGGGAGCTCCCAGGAAACCGAGACCGTTTCAGAGTGTGGGAGGGTGACTGTCAATCAGGAAAGGCAGGATCTTAGAGACTAGGACCCCGCCGTGGGTGGCAGAGCCCTTCCTGCCTGAGCCTAAGATGGGACATTAGGGGCCTCCAGCCAAGCAGCCCCTCTCCTCCCTGCTTCTGTGAAGCCCACCTTGTTTTTGTTGTTGTTTGGGTAGAGATGGGGTTTCTCCATGTTGGCCAGGTTGGTCTCAAACTCCTGACCTCAAGTGATCCACCCACCTTGGCCTCCCAAAGTGCTGGGATTACAGGCATGAGCCCTCGAGCCTGGCCTAAAGCCCACCTTCAAATCTTTGTTGTTTAGGGAGGAAGAGCGGTCTTGACATTTGTTACGTGTCTCACGTGCTGCTCTGAGTACGACTGAGATACGAATGATCTCATTGAAAACTCAGGGAACTTCAGCAATAGGAGCTATTGGCCGGGGGCACTGGCTCACGCCTGTAATCCCAGCACTTTGGGAGGCTGAGGCGGGCGGATCACAAGGTTAGGAGTTCAAGACCAGCCTGGCCAACATGGTGAAACCCTGTCTCTACTAAAAATACAAAAAAATCAGCTGGGCGTGGTGGCGCGTGCCTGTAATCCCAGTTACTTGGGAGGCTGAGGCAAGAGGATCGCTTGAACGTGAGAGACAGACGTTGCAGTAAGTCAAGATCACACCATTGTACTCCAGCCTGGGTGACACAGTGAGACTGTCTCAAAAAAGAAAAAAAGGTTAAAATGATAATAATAGTGATGTCATTCTCCAAAATTAAAAAGAAAGAAAGAAAGAAAAGACCTAGAAAAAAAAATAATCCCATTTTCACAAATAGCAAGCTTCGGCTCCGGGAAGCTAGAGACTTTTCCAAGCCCACACAGTTAGAGCATGCTAGGGCTTGACTGAAACCTCGCTGTGTCTGATTCAGAACCTGGGGTCCTTCCAGCAACTTGTGCAGTCACTGGAGACCGGTGTGCCTGGGTGAGGACCCCAGGCGACATCATGCCTCAGCTGTCATCAGAAATTGCTTCTGCAGGCCGGGTGTGGTGGCTCATGCCTGTAATCACAGCACCTGGGGAGGTCGCGATGGGCAGATCACCTGAGGTCAGGAGGTTGAGACTAAACCGGCCAACATGGCAAAACTCTGGCTCTACTAAAAATACAAAATGTGGCGGGTGCCTGTAACCCCAGCTACTTGGGAGGCTGAGGCAGGAGACTCTCTTAAACCTGGGAGGCGGAGGTTGCAGTGAACCGAGATCACTCCACTGCACCCATCTATCAAAACCACAAAACCAAACCAAACCACAATTTGGAGTCGGGGGTCTGTGGATTTCCAGCCAGGCCCCCGCTACTTCTTTTCCGCTCTGTGAACCTGAACAAGTCACTTGCCTTCTGAGCCTCAGCTGCTCATCCATAAAACGGCCGTCATAATACCTATCTCCCCGGGTTGCTAGAAAGCCTTAAATAAGGTGATTTATGAAAGCGCCTGGCATGTAGATATATGGAAACCAGAAAACACACCCGCTCCCGCTTGGAGGAAATCCAGGGTGGCCAGGACAGAGAACACTATGTGAGGTCTCTCCTGGACTTTTCGTTCCCAGCTCAGAGCAGCCTTTGATCCTATAGCAGAACCTGAGCTGGATGAGGTCCCAATACAGGGCTGACCAACCCAAGTCTCCTCTCTGCCTCTGCTGCCCAGCCACGGAGTATCCCCGAAATGAATGTGATCTTAAGGGTACATCAGGTATCGGACACCAGGTCACTGCCAACGTCCTTGAATACCTGTTGTCCCCATACCAACCATGAAAAGTAGGACTACTGGCTTCTTTTTTTCCTTTTTTTTTTTGAGACGAATCTTGCTCTGTCACCCAGGCTGGAGTGCAGTGGTGGATCTCAGCTCACTGCAACCTCCGCCTCCCGGGTTCAAGCGGTTCTCCTGCCTCAGCCTCCTAAGTAGCTGGGACTACAGGTGCCCACCACCATACCTAATTTTTTGTATTTTTAATAGAGACAGAGTTTCACTATGTTGGCCAGGCTGGTTTTGAATGCCTGACCTCATGATCCACCTGCCTTGACCTCCCAAAGTGCTGGGATTACAGGTGTGAGCCACTGTGCGCCCAGCCTATTGGCCTCATTTTTACAGATAAGGAAGCAGGTTCAGAGAGGCTAAGCAAATAGCCTGAAGTCACACAGCCAGCAAGGAGCAGAGACGGGGTGGAGGAATCAGCTCTGGGCGACTCTAAGTCCAGAATTGCTTCCACTATAAGGCATGGCCTCCCTGGGTCCCCTCTGCCCAATTCTCCACATGGGCACCCACTGGATGTTCAGGAAGAACTTCAGTGAAACGCTGTGGAGACCCATGCAGTATCCTCAGTTTCTCTATTCACAAAGTGATGCAATTGGCCCAGCTAGTGTCTAATGATCCTTTTTACCCTGGCATTTAAGGCACTGGACTACCTTAATAGGATGCAAAATGGGCTTTGAACTGTACTCTAAATCTCAGCCTACCCTAGTGCTTCTGAGGGCTGACCTCTGCACAGTGGAAAGCACCCTTTGGGACACATTCCCTAAGACCCCCTGGCGCCTGGTCTCCCTTTAAAAGGCCATCAGGGCCAGGTGTGACGGCTCATGCCTGTAATCTCAGCACTTTGGGAGGCCAAGGTGAGCAGATCACTTGAGGTCAGGAGTTCGAGAGCAACCTGGCCAACATGGAGAAACCCCGTCTCTACTAAAAATACAAAAAATAGCAGGGTGAGGTGGTGGGTGCCTGTAGTCCCTGCTACTTGGGAGGCTGAGGCAGGAGAATCGCTTGAACCCGAGAGGCGGAGGTTGCAGTGAACCGAGATGACACCACTGCACTCCAGCCTGGGCGACAGAGCAAGGCTCTGTCACAAAAAAAAAAAAAAAAAAAAAAAAAAAAAAGAGGCTGGCAGAACTCTGCTAGTGCTGGCTGTGAGGGTCCCAGGGTTTTTCCCAGGCAGCCCCCATGTAGAACTGTCCGGCAGGAGGGTTGGAGGGGGAGGTCCCTCCTGGCTGGGGAGGCCGGTGGTAGCCACCACTCACACTGGATATACCAGGCCCTCCAGATGGCGTTGTTCAGGCGGATCTTGTCTCTGCAGAGCAGCTTGAGGCCTTTGAAATTCTTCCACTTGGGAGACACCAGCTTGCCACTGTCAAAGGGGAGACGAGTGGGTTAGGGAGACCCAGTGCCGCCGAGGGGCTGCTCCCCATATTCCCCATCACGAGGCATCCATCTATGGTTGGCATTCGAGGGACCCTTCACTTCCGCCCCACCCCAACCCAACCTGCCTGAAATTCCAACCCAGAGAGTCAGACCCTCAAAAATTCCCTCCCAGACTCCCACCAGCAGCCCCTTTTTTCCCGGGGGAGACCCGTTTGTCAATCTACTACAGAAAAAAGCCGCTGAAACCTGTTGACCAGCTTGGCCCTGGATACAACAATGTCCGGTGGCCTCGCCGGGAGGCCTTGCAAGCTGATCAGGGAGACTGCTTAGGCCCGTTCCTTACTAATGACCTTCCTGGACTGGGGGCGGTGGCCTGTAGTCCCAGAAATTTGGGAGGCCGAGGAGGGTGGATCACCTGAGGTCAGGAGATTGAGACCAGCCTAATCCAACATAGTGAAACCCTGTCTCTAGTAAAAATACAGAAGTAGATGGGCATGGTAGTACCCACATATAATACCAGCTACTCAGGAGGCTGAGGCAGGAGAATCACTTGAACCTGGGAGGAGGAGGTTGCAGTGAGCTGAGATCACACCACTGTACTCTAGCCTGGCTCATGCCTGTAATTCCAGCACTTTGGGAGGCTGAAGCGGGTGGATCACCTGAGGTCAGGAGTTTGAGACCAGCCTGACCAACATGGAGAAACACCGTCTCTACTAAAAATAAAAAATTAGCTGGGCGTGGTGGTGCATGCCTGTAACCCCAGCTACTTGGGAGGCTGAGGCAGGAGAATTGCTTGAACCCAGGAGGAGGAGGTTGCAGTGAGCCGAGATTGTGCCATTGCACTCCAGCCTGGGCAATAAGAACAAAACTCTGTCTCAAAAAAAAAAAAAAAAAAAAAAAAAGAGAGTGAAGCTCCATCTAAAAAAAAAATAATAATAACCTTCCTGAGGGTCAGGGAGGAAGAGGGGCAGACCCAAGGTCACGTGGTGGGGACTCCCTCAGGCCTCCTTAGGCCCAGGAAAGGCAAAGCAGACGGCCATGTGGCCATGGTCTGCCTGGTAGAGAGGGAGCCTCTGTCTGTATCTTTCTTTTTTTTTTTTTTTTTGAGATAGAGTCTTGCTCTGTCGCCCAGCCTGGATAGCAGTGGCACAATTTTGGCTCACTGTAACCTCCATCTCCCAGATTCAAACAATTCTCCTGCCTCAGCCTCCTGAGTAGCTGGGATTACAGGTGCATGCCACCATGCTCAGCTAAATATTTTTGTATTTTTAGTAAGACAGGGTTTCACCGTGCTGGCCAGGCTGGTCTCAAACTCCTGACCTCAAGGGATCTGGCCACCTGGGCCTCCCAAAGTGCTGGGATTACAGTCGTGAGCCACCGTGCTGGGACAAGGGACCCTCTTTACAAATAGTGGCAGTCACTGCCTTCCTCACACAGCCCTTTCGGTGTCCGCCATGCCCCGAATCCCAGGATGGCAACTTGGACTCAGAGAGAAAGTGTTTCCCTTCTCAGAGGTCTGCAGGAGGCAACGAACCATCAGAGCCTAAAGGAAGGCAGCTAGGATGGGGGAACGGTATTCATGGAGACAGAGCACCCTCACTGTAACCTAGCCGTCTATCAAATCCACAGGATGGGCTGAGTGCGGTGGCTCATGCCTGTAATCCCAACACTTTGGGAGGCCAAGGTGGGAGGATCGCTTGAGCCCAGGAGTTTGAGACAAGCCTGGGCAGCATAGCAAGATCCCATCTCTACAAAAAATTTTTTAAATTAGCTGGATATGGTGCCATGCAGCTGTAGTCCTAGCTACTAGGGAGGCAGAGGTGGGAGGATCTTTTCAGCCCGGGAGTTTGAGGCTGCAGTGAGCTATGACCATGCCAGTGCACTCCAGCCTGGGCGACAGAGCAAGATCCTGTCTTGAAAAAAAACAACGGCCGGGTGCGGTGGCTCAAGCCTGTAATCCCAGCACTTTGGGAGGCCGAGGCGGGTGGATCACGAGGTCAAGAGATCGAGACCATCCTGGTCAATATGGTGAAACCCCATCTCTACCAAAAATACAAAAAATTAGCTGGGCATGGTGGCGCATGCCTGTAATCCGAGCTACTCAGGAGGCTGAGGCAGGAGAATTGCCTGAACCCAGGAGGCGGAGGTTGCGGTGAGCCGAGATCGCGCCATTGCACTCCAGCCTGGGTAACAAGAGCGAAACTCCGTCTCAGAAAAAAAAAAAAAAAGAAAGAAAAAAAAAACAAAAACACTGGATGGAACAGTTCTACACTGGTGAGGGGCTTGACGCTCAGGGTCCTGCTAGGCACAGGCCAAGTCTGCTGCCTCTGGGAAGCTGACTCAGGAAGCCAAGACATTCAGGATCTTAGACCCCCAACAGTCTCCCCATCCCTCTCTCCTCTCCATCCACAAGCCAGGATTGTGTACCAGTCCCTCTAGCCCACCTTCTCCATCCCTTGCTCAGATGGGAAGGCTGAGGGCCTGAGTCTTAGCCTTTTTTTTTTTTTGAGATGGAGCCTCATTCTGTTGCCCAGATTGGAGTGCAACGGCATGATCTTTGCTCCCTGCAATCTCCATCTCCCAGGTTCAAGCGATTCTCCTGCCTCAGCCTGCAGCTGGGATTACAGACATATGCCATGACTCCCAGCTAATTTTATTTTTTCTTTTTTGAGACGGAGTCTCGCTCTGTCACCCAGGCTGGAGTGCAATGGCATGATCTCGGCTCACCGCAACCTCTGCCTCCCGGGTTCAAGCGATTCTCCCGCCTCAGCCTCCCGAGTAGGTGGGATGACAGGAGCCTGTCTACCACACCCAGCTAATTTTTGTATTTTCAGTAGAGATGGAGTTCTCCATGTTGGCCAGCCTGGTCTTGAACTCCTGACCTCAAGCGATCTGCCCACTTTGGCCTCCCAAAGTGCTGGGACTACAGGCGTGAGCCACCGCGCCTGGCTCCCAAGGCTGTCTTTCAGAAAACCATGCCTGCTTCTTTCGGGGGTCTTCCCTGCATTCTGGGGGTGAAACATGGGTGGGTGCTGATCTGACTCCGCAGCCTCTCTCCTCCTAGCAGCCCCTTGAGTGCCTCGATCATTGGGTCCCCTCTCTTCCTTGGTCTCCAAGCTCCTGTGTTTGCTTTGGGGTGGGGGTCGGGGGACTGCTTCCCCCAACAGCAGACAACAGGCCTCATTACCCTAATAAAATACACAGCCCAGCGCCCTGGCCCACTGGCTGATCCCCTCCCTCCAGGAGCTGGATAAACACCATCTGTTCGGGGGGAGGACACAGGGGTGGGGTGGAGACTCTGCTACCTCCTGGGTCACCTTCTTCTGTGGCACCTGGTCGGGGACTCCTGAGCCTGTTGTCCCTGCCTGTATCCCAGCAACCTCCCAGCCCATTCTGATCACCCCGTGTCCCACTCTTGACCTGCCTGTCCTTCCTCCCACTTCCATGCTAAGGTTATGACGTTCAGAGCCCAGGCAGGGTTGGGGGAGATGTGACAGTGACAATATCCAAACCCAGGAGGAAGCAAAGGATTTGGGGCTGTCAGGGAAGGGACCCAGTCTGGAGCAAGAGCCTCACACCAGGGTTCAGGAACTTTTTATGACTGGATGGGCATGGCTCACGCCTGTAATCCCAGCACTTTGGAAAACCGAGGCAGAAGGATTGTTGGAGGCCAGGAGTTTGAGATCAGCCTGGGCAACATAGTGAGACCCTGTTTCTACAGTTAAAAAGTGAGCTGGGGCCAGGCCTAGTGGCTCATGCCTGTAATCCCAGAACTTTGGGATGCCGAGGCAGGTAGATCACCTGAGGTCAGGAGTTTGAGATCAGCCTGGCCAATGTGGTGAAACCTCATTTCTATTAAAAATACAAATAGGCCAGGCGCGGTGGCTCAAGCCTGTAATCCCAGCATTTTGAGAGGCCGAGTTGGGTGGATCACAAGGTCAAGAGATCGAGACCATCCTGGTCAACATGGTGAAACCCCGTCTCTACTAAAAATACAAAAAATTAGCTGGGCATGGTGGCGCGTGCCTGTAATCCCAGCTACTCAGGAGGCTGAGGCAGGAGAATTGCCTGAACCCAGGAGGCGGAGGTTGCGATGAGCCGAGATCGCGCCATTGCACTCCAGCCTGGGTCACAAGAGCGAAACTCCGTTTCAAAAAAAACAAAAACAAAAACAAAAAAACAAAAATACAAATATTAGGCCAGGCACTTGGTGGCTCACGCCTGTAATCCCAGCACTTTAGGAGGCAGAAGTGGGTGGATCACGAGGTCAGGAGTTCGAGACCACCCTGGCCAACATGGTGAAACCCCGTCTCTACTAAAAATACAAAAATTAGCTGGGTGTGGTGGTGTGTGCCTGTCGTCCCAGCTACTTGGGAGGCAGAGGCAGGAGAATCACTTGAATCCAGGAAGTGGAGGTTGCAGTGAGCCAATATCGCGCCACTGCACTCCAGCCTGGGTGACAGAGTGAGACTTCGTCTAAAAAAAAAAAAAAAAAAAAAAAAAAATTAGCGGGTGTGGTGGCGGGTACTTGTAATCCTAGCTACTCAGAGGCTGAGGCAGGGAGAATTGCTTGAACCCAGGAGGTGGAGGTTGCAGTGAGCCAAGATGGTGCCATTGCACTCCAGTGTGGGCGGCAGAGAGAGACACTGTCTCAAAAAAAAAAAAAAAAAAAAAAAGTTAGCTGGGCATGGTGGTGCACACTTGTAGTCCCAGCTACTCAGGAGGCTGCAGTGGGAAGATCACTTGAACCCAGGAGTTCAAGGGTCAAGTGAGCTGTGATCACGCCACTGTACTCCAGCCTGGGTAACAGAGTGAGAACCTGACTTGTAACAAACAAACGATTTCTTATGACCAATAGAAAAATCTGATGGGGCGCAGTGGCTCAGACCTGTAATCCCAGAACTTTGGGAGGCTGACGTGAGAGGATTTCCTGAACCCAGGAGTCCAAGCCCAGCTGGGCAGCACAGTGAAACCTCACCTCTATTTAAAACTATTAAAAGGGCCAAATGCGGTGGCTCATGCCTGTAATCCCAGCACTTTGGGAGGCTGAGGCAGGTGGATGACCCCAGGTCAGGAGTTCGAGACCAGCCTGGCCAACATGGTGAAACCCCGTCTCTACTGAAAATACAAAAATTAGCTGGGCGTGGTGGTGCAAGACTGTAACCTTGGCTACTCTGGAGGCTGAGGCAGGAGAATCCCTTGAACTCCGGGATAGAGGTTGCAGTGAATGGAGATCATGCCACTGCACTCCAGCCTGGGCAACAGAGACTCTGCCTCAAATAAAAGGAGGAGGAGGAGGAGGAGGAGGAGAAAAAGGAGGGGGGAGGAAAGGGGGAGGGGGAGGGGAGGAAGAAGGGAAGTGGGGAGGGGAGGAGTAGGGGAAGGGGAGGGGGGAGGGGAAGGGGGAAGGGGAAGAGGAAGGGAAGAGGGAGGGGAGGGGAGAAGGGGGAGGGGAAAGGGAAAGGGGGAGGAGGAAGAGGAGGGAAAGGGGGAGGGGAGGGGGAGGGGAGGGAAAGGGGGAGGGGAGGGAAAGGGGGAGGGGAGGAGTGATGGAAGGGGGAGTGGAGGAGGGGGAGGGGGAGTGGAAGGGGAGGCGGAGAGGGAGGGGGAGAGGGAGGGGGAGGGGGAGGAGAAGAGACAACTCTGAGACTCAGAGAGGGGTGGAGAAAACCTTAGAACTCCAAGTTCAGCTGTCCACCTCCCACCTTGTAGGCATTCGCTTTAGACTGCCCCCCAGCCAGGTCCTGTTTGCTCCCCTGCACCCTTGACGCCATTCTTCCTAAAGCTAGCCAGCTCCGACATGGACAAGTGCATCCTTGAAGCTTCCAGAAACTGCCTCCCTGGGGCTTCCACCCACAGAGCCATGGAACACGGCCTCCTTGATCCTCCCTCTGCCCGCCCTGCCCTGCGGAGGGTGAAACCCTGCCAGGCCTCTGCAGGCTGGGCCCTGGGTCAAGCTGGCCATTCTTCCCACCACCTTTTGAACTCTCCGCCTTACTGTCCCTTCCCATACAGTCACTCCCCTGGGACACTCAGCACCTGCCATCTGCTCCCCTGCAAGGAACCCCTGGAACTGGGGGTCTCTGAGGACTAAAAGACTGTCCACAGTTCAAGTCTCAGGGCTTTTCCTTCACCAAATGGGGAAATCTAGAAGCTCTCCTGGTACTGAGCCAACCCTCCATCTCTTTTCTTTTTCTCCTCACTGCCTCCCTCCCTCCTTCCCTTCCCCTCCCTTTCTTTTTTTTTTTTTTTTTTCTTTTTTTTTGAGACGGAGTTTCGCTCTTGTTACCCAGGCTGGAGTGCAATGGCGCGATCTCGACTCACCGCAACCTCCGCCTCCTGGGTTCAGGCAATTCTGCTGCCTCAGCCTCCTGAGTAGCTGGAATTACAGGCACGCGCCACCACGCCCAGCTATTTTTTTTGTATTTTTAGTAGAGACGGGGGTTTCACCATGTTGACCAAGATGGTCTCGATCTCTTGACCTCGTGATCCACCCGCCTCAGCCTCCCCTCCCTTTCTTTCCTTCCTTCCTTCCTTCCTCTCTCTCTCATTCCCTCCCTCCCTCCCTCCCTCCCTCCCTCCCTCCCTCCCTTCCTTCCAAGGGTCTCACTCTGTCACCCAGGGTGGAGTGCAATGGCGAGATCATGTCTCACTGGAGCCTCCACCTCCTGGGCTGACGCAATCCTCCCACTTCAGCCTCCCGAGTAGCTGGGACTAGGAATGGGCCATCACCCCTGGCTAATAAAAAAAATTTTTTTTTGGCCAGGTGAGGTGGCTCACGCCTGTAATCCCAGAACTTTGGGAGGCTGAGGCAGGCAGATCACCTGAAGTCAGGAGTTCAAGAGCAGCGTGGCCAATATGGTAAAACCCCATCTCTACTAAAAATACAAAAAAAATTTAGCTGGACATGGTGGCGGATGCCTCTAATCCCAGCTACTCGGGAGGCTGAGGCAGGAGAATTGCTTGAACCCGGGAGGTGGAGGTTGCAGTGAGTGCAGATTGTGCCATTGCACTCCAGCCTGGGCAATGAGTGAACTCTGTCTCAAAAAAAAATTTTTTTTTTTTTGGTAGAGATGGGCCCTCACTATGTTGCCCAGGCCGGTCTCCAACTCCTGGCTCAAGCAATCCTCTCATCTTGGCCTCCTCAAGTGCTGGGCTTACAGGCATGAGCCACTGTGACTGGCCAGAGAGATTTACTATGAATATTTGGGTATTGGGAAGAAAACACAGTCCTCTCTACCCCAGCTGTCTCTGACTGGGGTTACATCAGCCTTGAGTCAGCAGCCTTTTAGTGGGGGGCAGTTTTGGGGTGTGCTCTGCCAGCTCCCCAGAACCTCTCCTCTTACTCTGCCAGCTCCCCAGAACCTCTCCTCTTACTTTGCCAGCTCCCCAGAACCTCTCCTCTTTGGTCACCTCTCCCATGGTCAGGGTGGGGGTTGGACGTGAGGACCCCCAAATGGAGTGACGTGTAGTATATAACTAGAAGCCAGAGTTGGGGGTGGGTGGGAAATGGGAGACTCTTAGGAGGAGTGCCGGCATCCGGTGTACCAGGACCTTAGATGCCCCGTCCCAGGCAGTCGCGTGACATTTGGGGAGGGAGGGAGAAGGGACGGGAATTTGAACTTTCCACACGGGTCTGCCGCCCGGGCCGATAGGGTTGCAACAGGCCCTGGGCCCGGGGCCAGAGCTTGTGGGCCAAGGTTACTCTGCCTCCAGCCAATGGGGTCACAGCTGGGCAGCAGAAGATGGGGGCAGGCAACACTCCCCCCACAGTCCCCACCCCAGCTCCCGATCCCCTGCAGGGCGGCAGGTGCCAGAGTGTAGCCGTCGGTTCTCAGAACAGGAGGAGGCGCCGCGGAGGAAGAAGAATATTTGCACAGAGAAAAGATCAAGGCCGGCTGATCTCCCTTTCTCCCCTACGGGTTTTCGGTTGATAATTTATCCTGGCCCCTCCGCTCCGGGGAACTTTGCTCCAGGGCACTGGGCCAGGCCCCGGGTTCGCGCCCTCCTCTGGGACGCGGGGCGTGGAGAGGAAGCCGGGCGCGGCCGCTGCGCTCTCGGAGGCTCTGAGCTGGGGTCCCAGGCAGCGACAGGCGCTCAGCCTAGTGCGGTGACGCGGGTAGGCGGGCCCAGGCCTCCCTCCCCGGCACCAGCGTAACTTCTGCGAGCTGCGCCTCTTAGACATTTCTGGGACACTTTCCTTTCTCCCGCCACCCTTGACGTAGCAGATCAAGAAGAGGTGTCGCGGCGATTACGGGGAGGTGGACGAGAGACTGGGCCCGTTTCAGTCTATTTTGGTTACGTATTGGGACAGCCAGGGGCGCGGGGAGTATCTCAGGGCGCAGAAGCAGGGCGGGCCTGGGCCGGGGCTGCTGGGGAGAAGGCCGAGGCCTGCAGGGGTCGGGTGGAGTGGCTTCAGAGTGGACAGTGGGGATGGGCGCGGGTGGCCTAGGGACCTGGGACGCCTGGCACTTTGGAGGGACGGAGGAGCCGGGACCAGAGAGAGGGGCCCCGGAGGTCCAGGTGGAGGTGGGGCGCAGGCGGTCTGCGCCCAGGGGAGAAGGCGATGGCGGAGAAAGGGAATCAGAACTGCGCAGGTCCGTTGGGGGCCAGCGGGCTGGGCCGAGGTCAGAGGACCCCGGTGCTGGGGAAAAGGGGTTGTCCAGGGCGTGATCGGAGCCTCCGGGAGCTGCGGGGCCGGGCTCGGGTGGGGTGCTGAGGACCCCAGCACGCAGTCCTGCCCCGGAACCCCCTCCCCACCCTCCTCGGCCCTCGCTGGCCGGGCCGTCGGGGCCCGGAGCCGCCCTCACCTGTAGGCCAGGCTCAAGCACTCGAAGAGGCGAGTGAGTGTGGGGTCAATGCTGCGCGGCCCGAAGTCGGAGAGCCCCACGGAGCCCTCCTGGTCGCGCCGCCGAGGCAGCGAGTCGCTGTGCGGGGACGACACCATGAAGTGACCGCTGTGGATCACCTGCGAGCGGAGCAAGCCGCCCGCGCCGCGCCGGAAGGCTCGGGTCCTCCAAGTCCGTGTCCGAGTCCGAGTCTGGGCTGGGCGCGACCCGCGGGACCTGCAAGCCCGCGGCCAGGCCTGCCAGCGCCCCGGCCATGGCTGTCGCCGCTGCCACCGCCTGGTCCGAGCTTGGCTCAGCGCGGGGAACAGCTCGTGGCCAGACCGGCCTCATTAACATAGCCCCGCCCCTGCCTCCTAGGCTGATTGGGTGGGCGGGGCCTGGGGCGAGGCGGGGCTTTTATTAGCTGATTGGGTGGGCGGGGCCTGGGGGCGAGGCGGGGCTTTTATTAGCTGATTGGGTGGGCGGGGCCTGGAGGCGAGGCGGGGCTTTTATTAGCTGATTGGGTGGGCGGGGCCTGGAGCGAGGCGGGGCTTTTATTAGCTGATTGGGTGGGCGGGGCCTGGGGCGAGGCGGGGTTTTTATAATCTAGGCGCCAGGTGAGAACCCGCAGCCCTGGAGTTCCCGGGAGTTGGCCTTATCTCCCCTCCTGCCTGTCCTGGGAGTCCTGATACAATCGCCCCTACTTTGGGCCAAAGGGATCTTAAGAAGGGTCAGGCCGGGCGCCAGGAGCTCATGCCTGTAATCCTAGAACTTTAGAAGGCCAACGCGGGAGGATGGCTTAAGGCCAGGAGTTCGAGACTTGACTCAGAGATATGGCAAGACCCTCCCCAACCTCTACAAAAAGAAAATGCAAAAATTAGCTGGGCGCCCTGGAGAGAAGCTGTAATCCCAGCTACTGGGGAGGCTGAGGTGGGAGGATCCCTTGAGCCCAGGTGTTCAACAACGTGGCAAAACCCTGTCTCTACAACACATACAAAAATTATCTGGGCGTGGTGGCGTGCACCTGCAGTCCCACGAACTCGGAATTCTGAAGTGGGAGGATCGCTTGAGACCAAGAGGTCGAGGCTGCAGTGAGCGGAGATCTGCACTCCAGCCTGGATGACAGAGTGAGACCCTGTCTTAACAAGAGGGTTCCCTGTCACATCTGAGCCTGAAGGCACCTCAGGACCTGGGGTTTGTGCTTCTTTCAGGGACACTCTCTTGTGAGTCCAGAGGTCACCACCTCCCCTCACCTAACTCCTGCCTTCCACCTACGCCCCCCCCCTCCCATATTAGCACTGGGTCCTCCACACAGCTGGAAGGGGCCTTGTGTGGTGCGTGCGAGGCAACGCCCCTGAAGGGCCTGGCCCGCAGGAGGTTAATACCTCTAGTTAACATGGTGGCCAGGTGCGGTGGCTCACATCTGCAATCCCAGCACTTTGGGAGGCCAAGGCAGGAGGATCGCTTGAGACCAAGAGTTCAAGACCAGCCTGGCCAACATGGCGAAACCCCATCTCTACTAAAAATACAAAAATTAGCCAGGTGTGGTGGTGCGTGCTTGTTATCCCAGCTACTTGGGAGGCTGAGGTGGGAGAATCACAAGTCTGGGAGGCGGAGGTTGCAGTGAGCTGAGATCTTGCACTACTGCACTCCAGCCTGAGCCAGAGAGTGAGACCCTGTCACAGAAAATAAAATACTTAAGAAAAAATATCTATTTAAAAAAATTGTGATCATTACTTTGCCTGCACAGAGAGGCCCAAGGGGATTACCTGAGCCTCTAGGGATCATCACCAGTGGGGACAGGTGGCTCACTGGAAGGTGGGCATCCTCCAGGCAGGCATCTACCCAGGAACTGTGTGCTCCTTCTCTCACTGACACCGAGGTCCGGTTTTTGTTCCTGCTGATTGATTGATTGGTTGATTGATTTAGAGACGGAGGCTCACTCTGTCTCCCAGGCTGGCCCACTGCACCCAGCCTTTTTATATATTTTTAGGCACAGGGTCTCGCTCTGTCACCCCAGCTGGAGTATAGTGGCATGGTCATAGCTCACTGCAGCCTCAAACTCCTGGGCCAAGGCAATCCCCCCACCTCAGCCTCCCCAGTAGCTGGGACTACAAGCTCATGCCACCATACCTGGCTAATTTTTTTTTTTTGTAGAGATGAAATCTGTTGCTTAGCCTGGTCTTGAACTCTTGGCTTCAAGTGATCCTCCCACTTCAGCCTCCCAAAGTGTTGGGATTACAAGTGTGAGCCACCACGTATGGCCTGTTTCTGCTTCTGAAGGCCCTTTTCTTCCCTTGAGGATGGAAACCAGTCGGAGGCATTCACACCTGACACCTCACTGGAGCCTTTAACTAACAGCCTCAAAGATGGGTTCAGAAGCACAGGAGAGGCCGGGCGCGGTGGCTCAAGCTTGTAATCCCAGCACTTTGGGAGGCCGAGGCGGGTGGATCACGAGGTCGAGAGATCAAGACCATCCTGGTCAACAAGGTGAAACCCCGTCTCTACTAAAAATACAAAAAATTAGCTGGGCATGGTGGCGCGTGCCTGTAATCCCAGCTACTCGGGAGGCTGAGGCAGGAGAATTGCCTGAACCCAGGAGGCGGAGGTTGCGGTGAGCCGAGATCGTGCCATTGCACTCCAGCCTGGGTAACAAGAGCGAAACTCCGTCTCAAAAAAAAAAAAAAAAAAGAAGCACAGGAGAGCAAAAACACACCCAAGCATCTCTGAGGGGCAGCGGCAAAGCCTGGTCTAGTAAATTTCCAGACTTCCCTGAAAGGATGTCCCTAGTGGGTGGGGACAGGACAGAGTTGAAGGCAGATGCTAAGCTCCCCTGGCTTTTCAACAGGTATCCTACATGTGGTAACATTAGGGAAAGGGGAGGAGGTGGTCACCCATGTACCGCAGCCTTGGAATAGGTTGACACGTAGCATTTTTTTTTTTTTTTTTTTTTTTTTTGAGATGGAGTCTCGCTCTGTCACCCTGGAGTGCAGTGGCACAATCTCAGCTCACTGTAAGCTCTGCCCCTGAGGATTGAGGGGATTCTCCTGCCTCAGCCTCCTGAGTCGCTGGGATTACAGGCACGTGCCACCACGCCCAGATTATTTTTGTATTTTTAGCAGAGATGAGGATTCACCACGTTGGTCAGGCTGGACTCGAACTCCTGACCTCATGATCCGCCTGCCTCAGCCTCCCAAAGTGCTGGGATTACAGGCGTGAGCCACCGAGCCCAGCCGCTCATACAGCACTTTCTTTAAGCTGGTGGAAGGATCACACAGCACCCAGGATCACAATGGCAGTGCCCTGAGGGCCCCAGCCACTGGCTGAGGGAGCAAAGTGGTTACCAGAGGCTGCTCACGGGCCAGCCCTTCCACCCACCTCCCTTGGCAGGGTGTCTTCTGTCTCTGCCAAACAGCCACATCACATTTCCAGGAGCCCCAGCTGTTCCGATCCCTCCTCCCTGCTGCCCTCTATAGAACGTGCATTCTCTCTGCCAATCCCTGCCAGGTTGGGAAGGAGGGTTCTGATGGTCACGCTAGTCTCCCTCCTTTGGAGGGGCTCTGCCCTGCTTCAGAGAGCCATCTCCAACCCAAGTGCCCCTCAGACAAAGTTTTGCCATGTTGGCCAGGCTGGTCTCAAACTCCTGATCTCAAGTGATCCACTTGCCTTAGCCTCCCAAAGTGCTGGTATTACAGGCGTGAGCCACCATGCCCGGCTGTCAGGTGGCTGGTTAACCATCTTTTGAGACCCTTTGTACAGAGGCTGACAGGATCATTACTTATCCCGATGTGCTTGTCTGACTGCTCCCCCCACTCCCCCACTGAGGCAAGGATGTGTCCTAGCATCTCTGAACCCCCACATTGGGTCCCCGGAGACTTGGGGGATACTTGAAGAACGAGGCATGAGGCTAAGAGGAGCTGGTGGGCTGCTGTGGGTGTTGGATAGGAAGTGTCAGCTTCACCCTCTCCTCTCTCTTGGGACCTCTTGGCTCCGGGGACCCTGGCTCAGGTGAAGACCCAAACTGATCTTTGCTCTGCTGTTAATTCCGTGAATAACCCTGGGCAAATCTGTCTTACTGGGGATCTGCCTCACTACCTGTAAAACGGGGAGGCCGAACTCAGTGTTTTCTTTGCGTCTTCCTCTTTTTGCTGTTGTAAAGATGGGGTCTCACTATATTGCCCAGGCTGGTCTTGAACACCTGGGCTCAAGAGATCCACCCGCCTTGGCCTCCCAAAGTGCTGAGACTACAGGTGTGAGCCGCCATGCCTGACTTGAATTCAACGATTTGTTGGGGGTCCTGCAACAGGTCTTGGTTCCAAGTCTCTGCTGGCTATGTCTCCAGATCACCCCATCATGCTCTCCCCATGCTCTGAAAACATCAGAGTTGTCTCCCGCGGTTTCAGAGACGTTCCTCTGAGCTGGATCTGAGCGGTGTGGGAGGATTAGGAGTGAATTCTCTCCTTCCCCAAACATTCCTCCTTCCCCAGCCATGAATTGCCCCTCAGCAGGCATCTGCCGCTCACTTCTGCCTTCCTCCAGGGGTTAACAGCACCTCTAGAAGCCTGACTGCTGAAAAGACAAATCCTACCTGTGTTATGCAAAACGACCAAGCACTACAGTATCCAATAAGTGTAAGGACGTCCACAAAGTCTCATTTATCCTGTGTTTAGAGACAGGGTCTTGCTCTGTCACCCAGGCTGGAGTGCAGTGGCATGATCGTAGCTCACTGCAGCCTCAAACCCCTGGGCCAAAGCGATCCTCCCACTGCAGCCTCCCAAAGTGCTGGGATTAGAAGTGTGAGTCACTTGTAACGGGACCACAGGCACACATCCGCTGTTCAGAGCACCCTTGCCCAGATGATATAGCACAGCTGTGGTGTAAGCTGGTCTGCTCGTCTTCTTGCTCCCTCTCCTGGCTGTTGTTACTATCACCGGGAGTTTATAGCCTCTGTATAAACAAATCTTGTTCACGCTCCATGGAGGTGCAAGGCAAAGTCCTAACTGGTGTGAATACCTGGCTGCCCCCAGCGGTCACACCTGACATCGTGTCCTCCCTGCCTCCCAGTCTTGGTCCTCCAGACTCTTCACCTAGACTGCCCTTCCTGGTTGGGAAAGCCCCCCTGTCCTTGCGGCCCCTCCTCTGACATCTTCCCCAAGTTCTTCAGGTTAGTACTTCTGAGTCCCCCCCCTCCACGCTTGTTCTAACACAACTCTAACTTACTTCATTTGGCTTTGCGTTCACAGTGAGTGATGCACATGCTTTTCCTCCCCACTAGATGGCAAATACCTTGAGAGCAAAAAAATCACTGTTGGGTGTGGTGGCTCACCACCTGTAACCCCAATACTTTGGGAGGTCAAG